TGTACGGCGGCCCGGTTTTTCACGGATCGGTAATCCGTTAACAACGACTTTAGTGCTTTTTCTAAACAATGATAATTATTGTACACTTTTTTCTTTTCCAAATTTTCAAAACGCATATGGTACAATGATTTGATAACTAATGGACTTTTCTCGGAGGATTTGGGTCACCAGAACACGGTTAACGTTTGGATTATTTTAACGACGGGAGACTATACACCAAAAATGCAAGCAAATAATAAATAATAATTCACAGCCACGAGATAATCGCAGTCAACCGTGTCCAATTGAGGTCTTATTATCTCATTAAAAAATGGGAAGAGTTAAAAAAAAAATACGGTCAGAAAAACCATTGAGCTATTATAGAAATTCGATACAGTCGCCATGGCCGGGACACATTGAGGCGACACTATAGGCATTAGTATTAGTTTACCTACGTTGTTTTTCGCACCAAAAATCACGTTCTGATAGGTTTATAAAAAATACGACTAAAAATAAAAAATGTAGAACTTATATTTAACAATATTATTACTAATTGACTTCATTACACTTTTTAAACATTCGTGTTTTGATGTTATATATATATACTCAGTCTTGCGAGAGAACTCGCCGATTCTGCGCATCCCGTTGCGTCACCCTGTTATCGAAACATGTTTCCCTATGTCAAGGTGTCGCGTGGGGATGCGCAGAAAGACCAACTTTGGTCGGTCCTCGGAGCATTCTCTCGCTTGATAGAGTATAGGTAAGCTGTGATATATGAGATCACTCACAACGCTATAAGTTTATATAGTAGTCGCAAGACGATAATACAGCAGAATATTATTATCAATAAAATTTATGATATTCTGTGATGATACTTGTTTATTATAATAGTCAGGTATAGCTTATAATAAATAATATAACAATTTGTAAAGGCTCTACTTTTGACGTTAAATCATTTTTTCAATACACACCACCAGTATTTCCACTCACATAATCATTATGAATTGAAACTACATTGTCAATTTTAATATGTGACTCGTTACGGTTGGCAAGCAAATTGCATTACCATAGTGTTTTCCTCGAAACAGTCCAAACAATAAATAATACTTGAGTGGCAATGTATAGGTGGTCGCTAATTTTGTACGACGAAGGTCGAAATTACAAGATGTAAAAACATCGACTTAAACGCTTGCGAAAATAACATCAATAATATAAATTATTACCTACTAGTTTTTTAACTATATTTTAATAGGAAAGTTTTTATAGTGTAAACGTAATAGTGTAACCTAACCACGTACCTAATTTATTTTTAAAATAGTTTCTGAATGAAAAAAACACATTTTTATTTAAAGAATGACAAAAAGATCGAGAAGTCAAAAATTAATTAAAATAAAAGCAACAATAGTTTATGATATATCTACGGAATCTATACTTGTTTGTACATATTATATATTTATGTAATTTATATGTGTGTATAATGTATATGCCTGTAATGTGCTGAACAAATGAAATAATATTATGTTCAATTGTAAATTTTTAAAATTTTTAAATCTTTTCTGGTAATTTTATATTTATATTCATATTGTGTAAGCACCATTTGGTAGTTTGACTAATTACTTTGATCATATCACAAAATTGTGTTTAATTTATAAAATCAAACGTATTGTTTATAACTCTAACTTATTACATAGCATTGCAAAGCTACTAGTCAGCACTGATACTACAAATAACACACTATACATAAATAAGTATAAAATATATTTCGAAATAAATTCTAAAAAAATATGGTTAATTTGTTTTTTTTTCTGTTGTCAAAACACGCAATATGATTGTATCAGTAGTTTTAATAATTAAATGGAAATATAATAAAACATGATAGTAATAATGTAAAAATGTTTACTATTTTCTGTCAAGCAAAAACAACATTAGTTAAATTATGTATGTTTATAAAAATTGATTATTTGTGTATACTCACAAGCGTAATCATGATTATTTATTGTAAATTATAATGCCTGAACGTTTTATTTAAGAAAACAACATGATATTATTTAATATTATATAAACTAACAATGTGTATTTTGAAACATGAAAAAGTTTTAAAAAGTTAAATCAAATTTACTAGTAAGTTGCAATAATACTATAGTTATATTGTATTTCATTTTCATCTAACTAGTCGAAACACTTCAAAGGTTTGATAAAGTTTATGCTGTGTATATTATATTTTAGATATATCAATTTAAGAAAAACCTGTGAAATAATAGTTCTACATTATAAACATTTTTTGAGAATTCAACCTTATTATTGATAAAATAGTTCAACAATAAAACAATAGTTTTTAAGCACTATAAACATTGTGAAATGTTATAAAAATCATAAGAGCCCGCGTGCTATTGCGTCCAAATACTAATACAAATAGTATTCAGTATAATTTATAATTTAAAAGAAAACAAAAAACAGTACACGAATATTACGCAGGTTTACGATGTACGTGACTTTTTGCGATTATTTTTTTCCTGAAAATCGTATAAATTATACCTTTCAATAGCAATAACCGAGATCTGAAAAATATTAAAATATGTAATTATTGTTTTATAATTTGTACTGTTTATTAGTTAGTAATTAAGTCGTATATGTGAATACATTTTTTCAGCGAAAATATTAAGGTTTATTCGTTTGAATGAGACATATTTCATAATTGTTCATAAATAGTATATACATACAAAGTTAGTATTCATTTAATATTATTACTTAATGTAAAAAAAAATATCGGTTCGCACATACTTTTCCGTATAGTGTGTAACTCTACACAAGTACCTGTACCTATGTGATATTTCAATTTTCTCAAAATACAAGGACAGTATGCTCTGAAGGCATACCTACACAAATTATTTTAGTGGGTATTATATGGTTGCAAACGATCGATCTCTGTTACACCATTACAGTCGACGGAATTTTAAAAATGTGTTATTCCAAACTGTTATTTCCAACTTTAGACATACCAGTCGTTCGTCGTGTTATTTGCTCATTGCTTTTTTGGTATGGGTACCTACGACTTTTTACGTCTGTTGATTACCATAGCACGTTATACGCACATCAATATATATCACGGAAATAATGTACCCGCCGTCTATACGTTTCTGTACAGTAATCAATGGACCGTCCGACGATAATGTTTTTACTTTTTTAGGTTTGCATATCATGTCATTAAGATTTCCGTGTGTATATAATTTAATATTGTTTAGTTATTATTACATACCTACAGATGTAGTGACAAATAGTTGTTAGTGCTATGTTCGTGGTTCATATTATGTAGGATTCGTCGTGGTTTGCCGTAAATAATATGTATAATTTTAGACTATAACTTATAAGTATATACCGTCGTGGTATTACGAAAACGATTTACTGCGTATATATAATATTACAGTTGACGTCGGATTATAATAAATAAAAATGACAGATACGCATGCACATATTACATATACCTACATATAGACGACACTAGAAATGCCAAAAAAAAAATAATGTTTACAACACGGGGTGGAGGCCGTCATTATACGTATACAGATATATTATATTAGAATAAAAAATAAATAAATATTCGGGCTTTAAACATAATAGGTACATTAGCTTATTACTATTATTATTATGCTCCGAGATCCTAGGGTTAATGTAATGTAGGAGATAATATTAAATAATAATAATATATGTATATAAGCGGTGCCTAATGTATATAAGTACTATTGTATTACCGCAACTGTATTATTAAACAAACCTTTAATCGACTACGCCGCGTGTGAGTGCAATAGAAATTCGAATACTAAAACATACTATATTATACTATTATACGAATAATATAACAAAAAAAAAATTGTATATATAAATATAAATTATTATTAATATAATAATCGAATCGTTTGTGGTTGCTTAAAAATGTACCCGTGTACACATCGAATGTTTATGAATATGAAAAAAAGCCATAAATTATATTGCACTGCACTGCGGCGGCAGCGTTATCGTCGATATTCTCACGGGCGTGAACAAACTTGATAATACATTAATACATACAAATAAACAATAGTCAATATGTAAAATAAATAATTCAATGAAGCCGACAGAGTGCGATCGAAGTGAACAATAATAAACGCTACCCATTAGATTAGACACGGAAAACTTGTCACCGACGAGTAACTATATAAGTGGTATAATGACATCAGTTGTTAATTTCTTGTTTTATAATAAAATAATATTATTAATTATATAATATGATATAAGAAACTGGTTTCCTTCGATAAAGTTAAAGTGCATTTTACGTATGTAAGCTTGTTTTCAAGCATAACACGGAGCAGATTATTTGAAATTAATCTCGAGCAGTATTTGAAACTACAACGTCATAACTCCCCTATAATATTCGGTGGGTTTGTGACTAATATTGACATAGTGGTAGGTAATCAACTACTGTGATGAAGGGATACACACCAGATGGCATATTCATTAAGGCACTTGGTTCTTGGCTCTTATTTATTAACAATTATTATTTATTATACTGGTTGGGTTACTTCAATGATATTCATCATCAATCCCTTTACTCAATAATAAGGTTATAGGTTAGGTATTTTTTTAAATTCAAGTTTTTCAATTTTTAGAAATGCTTAATAAAGACCATATTTTTAAGTAAATGTAGGTTTTTTCTATAGATTTTTGTCGATTTTGTGTACAAATTAAGAGTGTTCTGCGTAGTATAAAGCCTTAATTTTCAAATCAGAAATTCACTTTTTTATTATTATTGTTAACCTATGATTTTTTTTAGAAAATATTGATTTTTTTAAATTCAAATTCAAATAAGTATTTTGTGAGCTATTAAACTTTATTTACTAAGGATAATAGTTCTCGATAATAGAGTTGTAATATATAAGGGCTGAATGGCTGATGATGATTTTAAAACTACATTAAGTAATTAATAGTATATGTCTATGACCTATAACTTATTACTTATTTTGTAGGCAAATGAAAGGTGCTAGAGAACGAATATCTTCGTCGTCGTGGAGCAACACAACAACATACAGAATACAAATATTGGTCCTTGGGCAGCATAATGATTCGGCACGCCCGTGTTATTATTTCGAACGCTGTTCTTCTCTTTGTACGACAATATTATATTATTATTATGATTTATAACCATTGACGAAAATTCTCGTCAAACCATTGTTTTTGACTCGTTCGGAAGGCACAGCATTTTTTTTAAACTAATAACAATAATAAAAATAACGTCTTATCACATACAGGTACATTCGGATATCGAACGTCACAACGAAGGATTGAGTTGCATAGAGCAGTCATCGCTTTGTGCTATCCTTCTTCCGTATGGTAATTTTTTTTATGATTTAATAATATTTTCATTAATTGATAGGCGATAACCTTGCAGATCCATTAACGTTACGTTGTTTGCCGGACAGGTATTAAATTAGGAACACCAACAACTGACAATAATATTTTCGGCGAAACATACGTCCATCCTCCTAGCAGCCGTTGGTTATCTAATCTATGTAGGTTGTACACAGGTACGAGAAAATCGGCAACCGATAATTTATTTGGAGTTTCGTCAAAGTGGTCAAACACACCAGCCGTTCTAGGGTTTTTGATGCCATCGTTATTCGCTGTACGTAAATTTCACGGATCACAGCAGCTGTAGTTTATGTATAAACCTATATTCTTCAGCAGCGATTCTCAACCTGGTGGTTGGACTGCCGAAGGGTTGGGGTATCAGTGGTATCACCGTAATATTGGCCGGATGGGACGTACGATTTTTTATTTATTATGATAAACGTATTTTAAATAAAATAAACCTCGTGTTATTTTTTTTTATTGTTGTACGTTTTGTTTATATATTATGTTATAATATTAATTTAAGTTGAATTATGGTGGGTTTCTGAAAATGTATTTAAAAAATTTAAAACGTTTGTACAATACACATATAAACACAAATTAAAATATATGCAAAAAATGTTTTCACAAAGGGCTGGTAAAATGGGGGCACCAAATTTTTCATCGGCTTACAGCAGTGTTTCTCAACTGGTTAGGTTAATAGTGTGCCTTGAAGCCTCTATAGGTGTGCCGCAAAATTCCCGGATTATTAATAAACGTTTACGTACAATTTCAGTAATTAGTTAAGATTAATTAATGAAATACTTATGATAGTTGTAATAATAATTTTTTTCTATCCTAAAATATTAACACAACATTTTAAATTGTTTGCTAATAATAATAAACTGATGCACAACTACTTCGGTATTTATAATTAAATGTTTAAAAAAATATGTATTCATGTATAAGTCAGTGATAAGAGCGCCTCGACCAAAAATGGGTTGGGATTAGTGTGCCGCGAGGGAAGAAGGTTGGGAAACGCTGGCCTACACCGTAGTTCTAAATAGAGACCTCATCATCGCTCTTCTACATACAAAGGAAAAAAAATTATATTGATTAAGATAAATCATATATGATTATTTTATGATACCTATTTATACTATTTTATTGATGAGACTCGGGGAAGGCCTCGGTCCGACTATGTTGAAAACATTTTCGACAATGTGACGTATAGGACATGATATTGTTAATACAAAGTGTACCGTTGGCATATTAGCAAACCCTCTATCGTACCGTTGGCAGTCAATTCGATCGTACGAGGCGGATACCGCAATTAGCGAAATATATTTACAGTACATTTATACATGCATATTATATACAACGTTTGTAGCCCGCGTAGTGCTCGGTGTGTAGCCGTGTGGGTATAAGATTATTATTGTATGGCGAAACATCGAACGGATTTCTCGCGCCCCAGATGCATTCCGACATCGAGGTTTCACTCTTTTCGCTTTCCGTTATAATATATATAATAATAATAATAATACAATGCACGTTTACGTTTGGCATTTTACCACTAGCACAGGACCGACGCGTTGGCGGCGAAACGCGAATTATGTCGATCGTTTATGATAATATATATATACGCACATGGTATAATAAATGTCTATACACGATGGCGGGTAACCGCTAACCGCAGTATGCGTAATAGGTGCACTCCGGGCCTGACCTACGGGCGATGAGTAGGATATCTACATAATAATTTTATAAACGGCGGTGATGGTTTGGACCAATTTTCAATTTGCGGTTGCCGCAAGGTTAAACAGTGCTCCGCCGATGTTCGTTTTCGGTGCGCATATCATCAAGGTCTGAGTATTTGGACGTAATCCGCGTGAAACTGTGTCTCCGTCCATATATTATTATAATATGTAATAAAGCGTGTACGCTCCTAATCTGTGCGTTCATCGGTTCAAGGTTGGGTAAATTATAAACTTTTTACGCTACGAGTAGTTAAAGTCAAATAAGCTTTGTCCTGTGAAATGACCCTTTGCTATTTTCAATTTTTTAGTGTTCTTAAAAAAAGGTGTAAAAATTGCGATTTTCATCCACAATCAAATGACAATTTGATTGAGACTCAATTAACCTAAACGATTACCTTAAACTTTCGTCAACATTTTGAGGTGACTAGCTATTCTTTCAAATGAACCATGTTTATGATAAAGTATATTTGCAATCATAAAACTGCATAATTTATATCTGAATCGTTGAGTTTGTACAAAGAAATTCACACGCTTGGTATAGTCACTAATAATGTTTGTTTTTAAACCTACTCGTCTACTATACAGTATACATGGTACTCAATACTCATCTACCCACCTATTGATTATAACTACCTACCTTAAAACCTGAAAATTTATGATAATACTATTTGAGTATTTTTAATGAAAGTTAAATGCTAATAGTAAACTTTTGAAATATTTACATAAATTATTATAGTCTTATAAATATTGGCAATATTAGATTTTTAAGTAATGCATAGACAATATGAATATATTTTTTTCACTTGAATATTCAGGTACCTAACTGAATCGTAAACTGCTTATAACTATAATGAATGTTGTATACGATGCTATTAATTAAAAAAGCATATTTAAAAGATTTAAATAATAAAAAAATGTATTGACGCGGTAAGATACTTGTGCAGTATACTTTAATTACCTAGCATTATCGACTTTAGTCTATAATAAGGTAACATAACTAATACAGTGTGGTAAAACTATAAAAAGAACTCTTCAAGTTGGTTTGTTAAACTGGTTCGACAGCAATTCAACAAATTTCAAAAGTAATTATACCTATATTTACAAACAAGCCAGAAAAAAAGTTACCAAAAAATATACTTAGGCCCAAAATACTTAACATTTTAAAACTTTTCGACGCCCAACCTTGACTGCGATGATGATAATAACAATCAGCTCCCTCTGTCACAGTCAAGGTGAATAGATACTTTACCGTCCCCCCTATGTGAACCCGATTTCCGTCTGCCACAAATTATTGCTACAGTCGCTTTCGTTTGCGATGAATTTAGTAACAACTGGTATAGTGGTAAGAGTCTGTTTTTTCGCAAACGGACCGCACACGTATAACGACTATGCCAACCTCGGTCGTCGTATTTTCTTGTGTGTGCTCGTATATAAATGTATTGTTATATTTCGACGGGTTGAACGAGGTTTAGTAACGATTTATTATCGTGATGTACATATGGTGCCCATCAAAGACGCCGAGAACAAATAATTAACATTCATCGCATTACACCGTGCGCTGTTTGTAATACATAAACACTATTATACCTAATGCCTGATGAGGGATTCATTCCTATGATATATACGGAGACTCACAGTAAAAGGAATGAAATGAATCTAAATTGGAAATTGAAAATATTATATCCCTGCAAGAATAAGAATGGTCCTAAAGCGCCCAGGAAAAGAACAGGAAATATTATTTTTAATTGGGTATCAGATAAAATACTTAATGTAAAAAAATTCAATATAACATTAATCGTTTAATATATAATATTATATGAATATATTTCTGTTAATATTGTTGAAATTATCATGGTAAATGTAGTATATAATAATAAATTATAAATTATGTATTGTATTTACACTTACACTTTTTAAAAATTTAAGAAATAAAACAATGTTATGTTAAGACACTGATTACGATAGACTTGGGGCTTTGACACTGGATATTAAATAGTGTATTATTGTGTTGTAACTTGTGATATTAATTTTGAATACAGTAAGAAAATATTGTATTAAAAACGATCTAGAGTAAAGCTTGGTGCTTAAACCATCCAATTATCCAAAAGACTTTTATAATTGTCAAATAATATTTTCAGACTTAGAGAATCTATAATGAAAAACAAGTCTTCAAAATCTACAAAATTAAATTCGGTAATTTATAAAGAATAAGAGTTCTTTACTAAGTAACACGACTTTCTTAAATCGTTCTAGAAAAAGTGTCTACGAAATCAAGGGCGTTTTAAATCAAAACAATTATGTTGAAATTAATATATTTCTTACTTCGCTCAGGATCTATAAAACTTTAATTAATGTTTAGAAAAAAAAGTTTCTTTTAAATAAATTGTATGTTCTATACAAATTTACATTACAATATTAAATTTAATTCTACATTGTACAAGCTAACGTTTTTAACATTTATGAAAATTGTATTTGTTATTTATTAGGTATGTTTTGTTCCTGGTATTTTACTGCGTAAATAGTATACGTCATAAAATATAGTCATTTAAATATTATATTATACTATTTATACTGTTATCTAGTATACGGTACTCAATATACACAGGTGTCATGTTAAATCTTGTCAAATATTTACTTCCACTCGTTCGGGTGATTTTCGCGTACATTATTCACGGTTAGACGTCCATTTATCTCGCTTATACATTTGGCATGTTATAAATAAAAAAATTCTCTTCCACTCGGTCGGCCGTCATCTTTTTATTTCGTAAATTACTGCATTTTAGAGACCATCATCGTGCGTCATTGGCAAAACTATATACATAACCATAATAATAATACAAAATAGTAAGTAAAAAACATTTATTTTTCCCCCAGAGTGTTCCCTGCGACTGTAACTATCAACTATAAATATATCTCAACGTTGTGTCACCGTTATGTGTTGTTACGTAGTCGAAGGAAAAGAAAAACAGATCGTCAAACCTTTTTATTTTTTTTCTTCGAGACGGGAAATGAAAACGAAGAGATGATATTTTTTTCCTTAATCACTAGAATTCCACGAAAAAAATTTCACAAAACACATAAATGATTGTTCACTACAGTATTGAGACAAAAGAAAAAACACGAACGTACAGTTATTTTGCAATGTCGTTTGCGTTGTATAATATATGTTGGTACGAACTCCATAAATATTCATCATTAATTAAATTTAATTGGCTTTCTTTTGTCGTACGATTTTCCTCCTCGACGGGGGTCAAGTGTCAACGCATGTATTTATTATGTATGTAGTATATACCTTCTACTCGTACATGTAGAATATTAACCCTAAATTAGTGAGCATTCCGAGTCAGCTCAGTTCAATAGAGTTTCGTTTTTGTCTTATTCTCCTGTTTACCCTCCTATAAGACTTAACAAAAATATACGAGTAGATATATAATGTAATCCTTGAGTATACTCCTCGCGACTCACCGATCCTGAAGTTATATAACTCTATGCATGTCTGTCAACTTGTTATGAAAAGTCATGTCATATTCATAAAAAAATAAATAATAATTTCTAAATACCGTGTAGTCTTGTTGCTTACCCAAATGTATTATATATTGGTCTTGTAGTACCATATTCACTGCAATAATTTCTATGTTTGTAGTTGTTCCTCTTGTTAAAAACCTTTTCGA